GCCGTTTTTGGCACGAAAAAAACGACCATGTATAGTAAGGCGTTTTTAGTCGAAAAAAACGACCGTATTTAGCCGAAAAAAACGACCATGTATAGGAAGGCGTTTTTAGCCTCAAAAAACGACCATGTATAGAAGGCGTTTTTAGCTGAAAAAACGACCATGTATCGAAAGGCGTTTTTTTATCAAAAAAACGACCATGTATAGTAAGGCGTTTTTTACCAAAAAAACGACCATGTATAGTCAGGCGTTTTTAACGCGACACGATGTCGTTTTTTTGTGGGCTAAAAACGCCTTACTATACTATGTCGTTTTTTTCGGCTAAAAACGCCTTACTATACTATGTCGTTTTTTTCGGCTAAAAACGCCTTACTATACTATGTCGTTTTTTTCGGCTAAAAACGCCTTACTATACTATGTCGTTTTTTTCGGCTAAAAACGCCTTACTATACTATGTCGTTTTTTTCGGCTAAAAACGCCTTACTATACTATGTCGTTTTTTTCGGCTAAAAACGCCTTACTATACTATGTCGTTTTTTTCGGCTAAAAACGCCTTACTATACTATGTCGTTTTTTTCGGCTAAAAACGCCTTACTATACTATGTCGTTTTTTTCGGCTAAAAACGCCTTACTATACTATGTCGTTTTTTTCGGCTAAAAACGCCTTACTATACTATGTCGTTTTTTTCGGCTAAAAACGCCTTACTATACTATGTCGTTTTTTTCGGCTAAAAACGCCTTACTATACTATGTCGTTTTTTTCGGCTAAAAACGCCTTACTATACTATGTCGTTTTTTTCGGCTAAAAACGCCTTACTATACTATGTCGTTTTTTTCGGCTAAAAACGCCTTACTATACTATGTCGTTTTTTTCGGCTAAAAACGCCTTACTATACTATGTCGTTTTTTTCGGCTAAAAACGCCTTACTATACTATGTCGTTTTTTTCGGCTAAAAACGCCTTACTATACTATGTCGTTTTTTTCTCGATAAAAACGCCTTACGATACGTCGTTTTTTTCGGCTAAAAACGCCTTACTATACTATGTCGTTTTTTTCGTGCCAAAAACGCCTTACTATACTATG